AATCTGAAGAAACATTTTTACATAAGAAAGAGCTTATCCAGCTTCCGCACGAGAACTTTTTCAGACTGAAAACAGCGGTCGAAAAAAATACATTATTTTTGTAGTTAACCACAACTACTTTTTTGAAAAATGAAATCAAATACAGCTGCAACTATCTTTAAAAAAAAAATTTAATTACTTTTGAACCGTGGTTACTTCTAGCTTTGCTGCGGGACTTGATTTATTCCCATTTTCCAAAAAGGTTTTGAATAAGAAATCGGCTTATTATAACATGATGAATTATTAAGAGATATTTATTCTTGTTTAGATGAGCCTGTTTTTATTTGAATTCCATTATTTATTTATTTTTTTTTTACGAATTTGTGCAATTTACTTTTAACTTTTTATGCCTTTATCGATAGCGAATTTAAGATGTGCAAGGAAATTATCAAAGATTTACAATTTCGTTAAGCTGTTAACGCTCATTTATTTTCTTTAAGAAATTAAATTTATTGAAAATAACAGAGAAAATATGCTCTCTTCTATTCAAATACACTGTTCATGAGTGTACATTCGCACTTGAAGGTATGACCAAAGTGATAAACTAGCTAATATTTGTAAATGCATCGCATTAAATCTATTGACCAACCCGACTCTTCCTAAATCAACCAATGCGAAACGGTTAAGAGGACGCTATGCCTAATTAATTTAATCTGTTTCTAACTAATTTAATATTTGAAATATAGAAAGTTCATGTAGCAAACTCAGAGTAAACCATGTAGTTTCAATTGCTGAAAATAAAAATAAATATGCAAACAAATTATTGGGAGAGAACATCGCCATTGCGTTTTTCTAAGTTATATAATTTGTTTTCATTTTGATGTTCTAAAAATTTATTTTCGGTAAACTTCATGGCTTACTCAAGGTTCGTCTGAACTCACTTTTTCTATATTTTTAATTTCAAATTAGTTATGGAGGTGATAAAGTATTGCTATGTAAAGTTTATCCAGTGGTATGACGTCTTCTTATAACCTCACGCCCGCCCCTGTTTCATAACTTATCTTCGTAACCATAGTAACCGCCAGAATGCGAGACTGATGTCTGGTGGAGCTCTCGTGACAGCCAGAGGGTAGTTCTGTTTACGAAAATATATTATTAATGGACAACACTCTTTAGTACGACTATTCATTACTACAATCCTTCCATTATAATGGCTGATTCATAAAATCCTGTTTGTTATTCCATAGACAAAATTTTATTTTATTGTCCATTAGGAGCACCCAAACTAAATTGTACATTCCAATTTATCGTTCGTATTTTTGTTCTTTTTTTTTTAATTAAAAAAAAAAAANTTAAAAAAAAAAAAAAAAAAAAAAAAACCACTCCACAAACAGGTATTAATTATTTTTAGTCTTGCAAAACGTCTTCTTGTTGAAAATGAATCAATGAATCGTCAAAAACTACAAAAAGAATTCAAACCACTATTATTTGTTGTTACATATAGATCCAGTTTTTATAAGTTTTTTCACAACCGTCATTGAACAGTCGAGCCAATTTTTTAGTTTACAATTACCAGTGTTCAACTCCGTAGCCTTGTAATTTTGAACCCAATCTATAAAACAGAGAAACTCCTGGATCAAGCATTGAAAGAAATTTACTTCCGTGGAGGACTTTTTGATGAACCTAACGAGTATTTACGTTACATGATGAGGAAAATCACAAAAATCTCCTTAGGTTTGCCTGACGGCAAGGGGACTCTAATCCATAATCCGTCTGTCACAGTATTTATAAATTGTGAATAAATATTCGCAATAGTTTTATGTGCTCACTATTTAGACACCTCTCGTTATAACCATATATTTTCGTTTTGACGACCAGTGTCGTTATATCGAGTGTCGACTGCATAAATTTTTACGTTTAGATAGTATTTTTTTAAATAGTGCTTTTTCATCGTGCATATAGTGCTTTTTTAAAGCTTAAGTGTAGGATATGAGGATATATACACTTGGTTTTTGCATATCTATATGACCACTTTTTACTCATTAAGAGGACTTTTTGTGGTTGGGGTTAGCGAGATATGGATATTTTATGAGTAAAAAAATTAATATTGGCTTAATTTTATACCTTTATTAAATTTTGTGACATTGTTCACCTCTCATAGTTTTGTGACAGTTGTTTTCGCACACTAACCCTCATGATTGTCTCGTAATCATTTTTATTTCTTACAGATTTTTACGATCGATAAAACAGATTTTTGCAGCTAAATTAAAAACCATACAATTTAAAGAACTCAAATTTTATTCTGATTAACATAGATTTACGTTTCTTTAGATTCTGTTCTCGATTCTGTTGGGGGCAAAGTCTAAACCTATACAATTTGCTCGATAATCAGTGTAACTTCGTCCACGAAACTATTTGCAATCACACAAAATACGTTTACTTTACAAAACAGTAGTAATGCCTAATTTTTTAGTTATCAGAGTTATTTAGTATTCGAAGTTTTTTTTAATTGCATACGTTGAATAAATGCATCAATACATGCTATTAATAAATAAACCTCTCCGAGCAAGCACACAATATTATTTTCATTCAATTATATTTTATTTCATTCAATTTCTTTTTATTTAATTGCCTGAACTTGGTTGCTTAGCAATGGAACAAAATAAGGTATTCCTCTCTTGAATTAGTCTATGGGCAATCTTAAAATGTTCATTTGAGGTGACAGCTTGCTTGGCTGTTTTTTGGGATTATCTCCAAATATATGTAACTTAGTAGCTCCCCAATTTACGATCCAATATTTTCGAAATTTTGTCTACCCGCCCTCCATTTTGAGGGTCAGGAATCCGAATATGTAATAAAAAAAATAATAAAAACATGTTCATTCAGAAAAAAGTGCGTTTTTGTGGTGTCTGATTTCGTAATTTAATTAATAGTTAGCGATAATTAATTAGCAAATTTGAAGTCACCCCCAGAAACCATTAACATGCACGTGAAAATCCGATCATTAGAATGAAGGTTATTCAAGGAGTTATCACCGTTTTTTTTTTTTTTTCGTGTGTGCATTGTACATGCATAGACATAGTCAAACGATGACTCTTGGAGCAAACTAGATAAAGAATTAAAATATATTGCCGGAGATTGTTGAATATATTCGTCACTGTTTGCCCTCATCTCTGCCAAAATCCTAAGTCCAAAGAACCGATAGTTAAAATCTATTTTAAAACGTTTTGTATGTTTGAAAGACCCTTTAAGCAGTTAAAAACTCTATTTTAGGATTCTAAAAGGGTGTTTAGGATTGGATTGTGCTTCGCTTCATTGAGTGATTTAGAAGTAAACAGTTTTTTTTTTTATCTTTTGTGTAGTTTCAGCTAAGTGGATGTGAAGATTGAAATTGACCAGGAAAAAAGGTCGACAACTTAGAGATTGTTTATAGATACAATATTTAGCTTTTTCTAATCTACTGTTTACAATGACTTGTATGGAATATTAATCATTAAAAACGATTACGAAAATGGATTAAAAATTATCATTTTTTTAAATATGGGACTGTTCAAATATTACGTAAGTACCTATAGAGCAAAATTAGGAAAACTTGAAATTAGGCTACTTTTTCAAAAAATTAAAAGTTGTGCTGTGCTGGCTGAGAAGATCGAGAGCTCGCCTCCCAGTGAGGTGACCTAGGTTCGAATCCCAGTGATGGCTGGTAAATGTGAATTCTGCTCCCGGTGCTTAGCAACCGCAGTGCTGCCGTGAAATATCCTCAGTGATAAACGGATCATAGTTCATATAACTTGTTATCCAAATACAAATAGTTCTGTTATTAATTTATTATCATATTTATTTCTTCAGAATAAATACTAACAATGAAAAAATTTTGATACCAATTTTTACTTTTTTGAAAAGAAAACCGTCTTTTTAAAAGAATAGTGAATACAAATTGGCATAACTGATCGTTAATGCAAGTAGAAATCGTAGCACCGTATTGAGCACATAAATGAATAAATTAAACATGTAGAATAATTTTAATAAAAATAAAAGCTACTTTCACCAATGATTGCAAACTTCTTGAATTTTTTCAAAATTTTTTGAAGCAATAAATAAATATAACATGTTGAATAATTATTATTAAAAAAAATTTTAATCGATAATTGCAAACTTCTTAAACTCATTCGTATTAATTAAATTTATCCGCATTATCTTTTATTTACCCAGTAAATTAACGAAATAAATTTGATTAATTTAAAAGATGAATTAGAAAAAAAGGGAAATTTGATTAACATAACAGATAAATGAAAAAAAAAAGGGAAATTTGATTAAATTAAGATAAAAGATAAAATGCTAACAAATCCTTTATTATTGCCGATTCCTTTTTATCTATCGAACGTTCGAATGAGCTGAGATAAGTAACAAATTAAACAACTGTCTTATTTTCGTTAACATTATTAGAAATATTTTCTAATTTGTCAAATTTGCTATTTTGTCACCAAAGGAAAAAAGCTCGAAATAAAAAGTGTAAAAATTCAGAACTTTGATTTACATGCATTGTATGAAATGTATCAAATGCCTGTTCACAAAAAAATATTTTTTAATGCTCTAAAAATATACTTTTTTATTGCTTTTATTAAGCTCTACAAGTATTAAGTTCTATCAAGATTTCAATTTATTGAAATTTAAATGTGCCTGTACTATAAATTTATTATTTATTGATCTTAATCACATGTTATAAATTTATTATTTAACTTATTGAATTTGCAAAGAATTTTCTATAATCTGAAGGACACATACATTCCCTAGCATCAATTTTACCTTGACCCCTGTTAGACTCAATATGGGTCTTATAAGAGCATGCACCAAAGGACCAATTTTAATGTCTAGATTTTTTAATATTGGTCATAAAATGGCCTATATATGGCCTGTACTTGCTGAATAATGAATATAAAATATCGGGTGAATCTGACAATTCTATATATGGACCGATATCAGTTGTCATTGGCTGTAAAATATAGAGTGAATTGGACAATTCAAGGCACTCTAGACAATTCTTCATAGGGCCGATATTGGTTGCACAATGGCTGTAAAGTATCGGGTGAATCTGACAATTCTATATAGGGCAGATATTGGTTGTACAGTGGCTGTAAAGTATCGGGTGAATCTGACAATTCTATATAGGGCAGATATTGGTTGTACAGTGGCTGTAAAGTATCGGGTGAATCTGACAATTCTATATAGGGCAGATATTGGTTGTACAGTGGCTGTAAAGTATCGGGTGAATCTGACAATTCTATATAGGGCAGATATTGGTTGTACAGTGGCTGTAAAGTATCGGGTGAATCTGACAATTCTATATAGGGCAGATATTGGTTGTACAGTGGCTGTAAAGTATCGGGTGAATCTGACAATTCTATATAGGGCAGATATTGGTTGTACAGTGGCTGTAAAGTATCGGGTGAATCTGACAATTCTATATAGGGCAGATATTGGTTGTACAGTGGCTGTAAAGTATCGGGTGAATCTGACAATTCTATATAGGGCAGATATTGGTTGTACAGTGGCTGTAAAGTATCGGGTGAATCTGACAATTCTATATAGGGCAGATATTGGTTGTACAGTGGCTGTAAAGTATCGGGTGAATCTGACAATTCTATATAGGGCAGATATTGGTTGTACAGTGGCTGTAAAGTATCGGGTGAATCTGACAATTCTATATAGGGCAGATATTGGTTGTACAGTGGCTGTAAAGTATCGGGTGAATCTGACAATTCTATATAGGGCAGATATTGGTTGTACAGTGGCTGTAAAGTATCGGGTGAATCTGACAATTCTATATAGGGCAGATATTGGTTGTACAGTGGCTGTAAAGTATCGGGTGAATCTGACAATTCTATATAGGGCAGATATTGGTTGTACAGTGGCTGTAAAGTATCGGGTGAATCTGACAATTCTATATAGGGCAGATATTGGTTGTACAGTGGCTGTAAAGTATCGGGTGAATCTGACAATTCTATATAGGGCAGATATTGGTTGTACAGTGGCTGTAAAGTATCGGGTGAATCTGACAATTCTATATAGGGCAGATATTGGTTGTACAGTGGCTGTAAAGTATCGGGTGAATCTGACAATTCTATATAGGGCAGATATTGGTTGTACAGTGGCTGTAAAGTATCGGGTGAATCTGACAATTCTATATAGGGCAGATATTGGTTGTACAGTGGCTGTAAAGTATCGGGTGAATCTGACAATTCTATATAGGGCAGATATTGGTTGTACAGTGGCTGTAAAGTATCGGGTGAATCTGACAATTCTATATAGGGCAGATATTGGTTGTACAGTGGCTGTAAAGTATCGGGTGAATCTGACAATTCTATATAGGGCAGATATTGGTTGTACAGTGGCTGTAAAGTATCGGGTGAATCTGACAATTCTATATAGGGCAGATATTGGTTGTACAGTGGCTGTAAAGTATCGGGTGAATCTGACAATTCTATATAGGGCAGATATTGGTTGTACAGTGGCTGTAAAGTATCGGGTGAATCTGACAATTCTATATAGGGCAGATATTGGTTGTACAGTGGCTGTAAAGTATCGGGTGAATCTGACAATTCTATATAGGGCAGATATTGGTTGTACAGTGGCTGTAAAGTATCGGGTGAATCTGACAATTCTATATAGGGCAGATATTGGTTGTACAGTGGCTGTAAAGTATCGGGTGAATCTGACAATTCTATATAGGGCAGATATTGGTTGTACAGTGGCTGTAAAGTATCGGGTGAATCTGACAATTCTATATAGGGCAGATATTGGTTGTACAGTGGCTGTAAAGTATCGGGTGAATCTGACAATTCTATATAGGGCAGATATTGGTTGTACAGTGGCTGTAAAGTATCGGGTGAATCTGACAATTCTATATAGGGCAGATATTGGTTGTACAGTGGCTGTAAAGTATCGGGCGAATCTGACTTTTCTATATAGGGCAGATTGGTTGTATAATGGCTGTAAAGTATCGGGGGAATCTGACAATTCTATATAGGGCAGATATGTTGTACAGTGGCTGTAAAATTTGGATGAAGTTGACTTTTCTATACAGGGCAGATATTGGTTGTACAGTGGCTGTTAAATATCGGGTGCATCGAACAATTCTATATAGGACAAGTATTAGATAAATAGCTGGCCCTTTTAACCCTTATTGAACCGAAACTCGTGAATATTGGTCTAATGAGGACCGAAGTTATTTTGCTGCTAGGGTTGTAATAGAACGGACATTTATCCATTTTTTGCGAAAGCTCCATCTGTTTTTCCACATTTAATAAATGAAATTGCCTAAAACAGTTACTTTAAAGAACATGTGTGGCGGTTAATCCTTCCAAAGTGGGTGAATTCAGGTATCTAATGCTTAAAATAAAAAACTAAAATCTTTTCCAGGAATTTTGGTTATTCATTTAAGAAATAAACTGAAATGGGTGGAATAAGAACAACTGCCTTGAATAAATCATGAACATTTTTTTTGAAATGGCGAAAAATGTTAGGTATTTATTTCTTTACGCTATATTTCTCAGAGAAGCCGTAGAAAGATTTACGACATTTATTTGGCGATTTTTAGACCTGCGTTAAAGAAACGTACTATAAAAAAAATATTCAAGCATAGAATATTCAGGTAGAATAACACGTTTTTTTTAATAGTTAATCTTTGCTTTGGAATATATAAAAGAAACTCAATTTTATTGATTGAGCAGCATTCTAACAGATTTCGTATACGTAAGAATAAATGTAACTGCTCTATTTTCACGAGTCATTGGCAAGTTACCCGTTCGGCAAGAAACCAATTTTACAAAAAAAATACCACACCTTTTCATTGCCATTCGTTTGCCAGCTGTTTGACGATTTATACTTTGTGACTTAAAAGCTTTAAATTACATTTAAAATAAATGCTTCAACATTCACAATGAAATACTGAATTATTTATCGAACTATTTAGGCTTACAAAAAGTTAAAATAAAAAAAGTTAAAAGTTAAAATAAAAATCTTGGTATACACAGTGAATAACAAATTTAAATTGATTGTTTAAATTGATTTATATTAATTAAATAAGGTAGATTAAATATATAAAATCTTGATATACACTGTGTATAAAATCTCAATATACTCAGTGAATAATAAATTAAAATTGATCGTTTAAATTGATCGAAAAATTAATTTAAATTGATTTGTATTAATTAAAAAAGGTAGATTAAATTGAATTGATAGTAATTAATTGTAATTGAATAATGGTTAATTATATTAGTTTAATTGATCAAAATATAGAGTGCTCTCTTAAAATCGTTTTTTTTTCTCTGACATCATATGTTTTAATATCATAAACATTACTCGCCTTTTTGTATTTGAATTACATAAAAATTGTTTACACAGTTTCTTAATTTCATATTTCCTTGAAAACTCTTTCGTAACACTTTTTAGAGAATAATATTTTTTTTTCTTTCGAAATTGTTGTGAATTTCATAACTGTTAGGTTATTCATAACTGTTAGATTAAGTTTATAGCCCACTAGTCGAAGTGTGCCAATCTTTTAAAGGCAATGCCGAAAAGTTGCTATTTGCTATCATCAAAATTTGATAATCATGAACTAATATCTTCGGCGTCTCAAGCTTGTTGAAATTCGACTAAAAGCACCCACAAATTACTTTATTTCACGGTTTTACAACTACTAATGTTCAACTCAGTAGGCTTTTAATTTTGATCCCGATCCAGAAGACAAGGGAACTCTTGGATCAATTATTGGAATAAATCTGCCTTCATCGAGGACATCTGGATGGAACTAACAAGCATTTGGGTTACATGGAGAGGCAAATCATGAAAACCTACCACAGTTAGTGCGACTGCAAGGGGACTCTAACCCATGATCCATCTATGAGAATATTTTACGTGAGGTAAGTGCGAACCGGGTGCGGAATTCGTATCGACCAACCATCACTGGGATTCTAACTTGTTCACCTCATAGGAAGGCGAATGCTCTATCCCCTGAACCACCACGCCTCTCTACAAATTATTGTTTGTTTGTTTTTTTATCTGTTAATATCTGTACCAAACTCTAGAGTTATAACTTAATATCTTTTACAGCCTCAAAGGTACCGAAGTTTGAATGGCTCAATTGAGGGAACAAATAATATCATTTCAAAAGATTTATTTCACCGATCAGAATGGATAAATCCATACTTCGGTGACTTGACGCGAAAGAAAATATTAAGTTATAACTCTAAAGTTTGGTACAGATAATCCTGTTATTATAAGAAAAAATAATTATAACTTGTAAGCACTGTCGCAAGACCAATCAATAAAACCGAGAATTTTATGAATTTCAATCATTTTTAGAGAAATTTTTACGGCTTTGCGGTCGTAGGAGATAACGATTCAGACTTGTAAGATTTAAATGGCTGTTATTAACTTTTCCTCACCATCGTTAAAAAATTTATAACACTTCGACTTTTTCGACCCACGCTGTTGTCCATCTTTGATCAATGTCCTTCATGCTGGTTATGAAAATAGCGCGGACAATCCGTGTAAGAAAAAGTCAGCAGTTTTGAAGAAGAAAAAAAAAAAACAGAGCGTTTTCAGTGCTTTTTAATTTTTGAAAACTTTTTCCGGCAGTTTTTTGAAAGCTCTGCCGTCATATAAAATCCCGCTTTTGTGAATAATATGTTATTTTCATAATTACTGTTCGTTTGCAACAGTTATTTTTGACTGTTACGTCAAGTTTAGCCTATTTTTAAACAACGCTTTCCATATGTTAATTCTAAAAATGGTGCAAAACGTCAGTATCAGAATAAATAACAGTTTTGTGAAAATAAAAAGCGTTTGTAGTCATTTTTTCTTTTAATTTTACAAATATTTTTCCAACTGTTTTTTTAAGGCTCTGCCGTCTCATGAAATCACATTCATTGTGAATAATATGCTTATTTTCATAATTACTGTTAGTCAGCAACAGTTATTTTTGAATGTTAGATTAAGTTTAGCCTATTTTTAGACAGCTCTTTCTATGTTAATTCAGAAAAAGGCCCAAGACGCCAATATTAAGAAAAAGCACAGTTTTGTGAAAATGTAAAGCATTTATGGACTAATTTTTTAACATTAAAAAACATTTCAAGCACTGCACTATCTGATGTCATAAATGTTTCCAAAAATTGAGAATTATTTACTGATCTTGATAATTTTCATTTTGGTAAAAAATTCTCGACAATTTGGCCATTTTTGAAAAATTTCAATACATTTGTAGTTATTTATGTTATTGATACGTTTACAGCGTGATGATAGATATAGTTTAAAATAACAGCTTAACTTCACGAATAAGGCAGTTAAGCTGTGGCCTTTTTGTTTTCTCTGGGAACTAAATTTCGAGAAACACTGTCAATGGTTTTTCACCAAATAGAAAAAATCTCGTTGAATTTGCCTTTTTTTTTTTTTTTTTTTTTTTTTTTTTTTTTTTTTTTAAGTTTAAAATATTTGTTTCTTTAAAATCCAGCAAATTATTTTCAGCCAGATAGATATGCATTTTAAAATAAAACATATGCTTCAAGTTTAATAAAGTTATTCAGTAAACGCTATACCGCGAGAAGAAACTTTGCAAGGCAAATACTGTTTTTCCTCAATTGGTATTTTAAAATATGAAGTTTAGAGAAAAATAACTTAGGGTAAATCTAGAGTAAACAATGAAGTTTCAAATGTTGAGTTGAAAAAAACATGTATCTTCAAAACATCCAAATGCAGTAAAATTATTTGAGGATAACCTCCCCACAACTTATTCCTAAAATAGCAGTTCCCAAACCCTTTTTTTTTTTTTGCGACGAAGCTTTAAATAATGAACCTTCTTTCAGCGGAACCTCGACTTTTTGAATTAAGTTTATTAAGATAATTGTAAGCGTTATAACCTATAGAAGACTTTTAAAATATTTAATTAGAGGAATAAAGATTTTCCATCGTTTCATCATTAATAATCTTAAATTAGGTATTATGTCCGACATTAATATTTGCAGTAATTGTTACATATCTAATCTACTTATGAATTTGTTTTTGGAGAATAGATACAAGCTGAGAATAAATAAACTTAGCCGAATAATGATTTTCTTCGAAATGAAAACTTCGAAGAACTGCTATGAACGTTGAAAATGGTAATTAGAGAAACATATTTCTTTAATAAGGAATTTAATTATTTTATTTTGATTTGAAAAGCGTGATATGAAACACTAATGCCATATTTTATCAATGCTTGTTCTTCTCATAATTTGTTCGTTGTATTGTTATTAGAAATATTACACTCTCTTTTAAAAAGTGCCATTTCTATTTCATTGGCATTTTCACTTGAAATGATTTCATAAAGACAACCGAAAGATTGAATACATTTTGAACTACAGGTTGAATTTCATCTGAGGTTTCAAAATTCATCACTGGTTATATAAAAAGTACTAACTAGCGAAACCCCCATTAATTAATCCATGGAACCTCAGGAAGAACACCATTTGTGATCCGCTGTCCTAGAGTAGCGTGATTTGTTTGCTTTTTGATATTTTGAAAATTCGTTTTGAGAATTAGAAACTTTTTATTTTATTTCCAATGAGCTGCGCAATTGATGCAGACCATCGATGCGAGCTGCGCGACCGATGATCAGACCTAGTGCGTTCTCCAGAGGTGGTATCCACTCTTTCAGGACCACCACAATGGGTGAGATACCGTTGGTCATGTTAATTTGGACGTCTAGTTTCAGCCACACTAGATGGCAGCACCGAGACTCTATTTGGATGCTAAAGTGCANAAAACTGAAAAGAGGCACTCCAGGGATCTTTTACATGCCGCATAATCATACGACATGGCCGCTGTGGATTTTCTGAATTTGAAACTTCATACCTCACTCTAGGTATGCTTATTCGAATTTTTACTATACTTCCAATTTTAAATTATTTATGTCGGTGAAAGAGAATTTTTAATAACTCGCGGAACCCCCATTTATTCTTCCACGGAAACCTTGGCTTCATTATTTGGGTTCCGCTGTCCTAGAGTAATTCGCCTTGAAAATTTGAAACTTCATAGCTCACTTTATGTATGCTTATTCGAACTTTTTCAATAACTTTAAATTTTAAGTTGCTTACGGTGAAAGAGAATTTTCCATGAGGCGTTTCGCCCGTACTACAGCGACCTCTGAAGACTATGTTATTTTTATTATTTTATTTTATTTATTTTGGCGAAGCTCATGTTTGTCAGTGAATATGGAAAGCTGTTCACTGTTTAGTCTCTTCCAACTCCACTTGGAAACCTTGGCTGCTTGTTTTGCTTTATCTATTAGCCATTTCTCCCATACACCACAGATGAATGTTCTTCAAAAATCACTTAATCTGTCATCTTCTTAAACAAAATCCCACTTCTCTTTTTCATTCTATCAGATCCATCACAACCCACTTTGGCTTCTTTCTCACTATCGCCAACACGGTACTTTTGGCGTCATAATCCTCTTGCCTTATCTCGAAGATTTCTTCTGGCTTAAAGACTACTTTTTTAAGTGTAGTTATAAAAAATCCTGACACAAAACAGGTAACGATATAAAAAAAAAGAGGGGAAACCAAAACAATGACAGATGGGAATCCTCTCAACTCAACTCTCTATTTTTTTTTCTTTCATTCTTAAAGAGTGTCATCCTCTGGAAGTATATATACCTCTTGTATAGCTTCTCCAAAAATTCTCCTGAAAGGGAATGAAAAAAAATTCTGAAAAAGCACCCTTTACGTAATATGATGCGGGGTCAGGTCGCTTTCGGGGGATAAAGAATGTTTTTTGGCGAAAATTCCGTTTCTGTTTTTGTTCTATTCAAAGATGGGCTTTGTATCCATTTAGTCAGTATTTGCTGCTGCTAAAAGCGGTGTTTTGAGTGAGTATTTATAAACAAACTATTTGTAGGTCATCTGTGTTCCTAGAAATTCACTCTAAGCAACATAAATGTATCATAACAACAACATATAAGGGAAAGTTTGTTACTCAAAACTAAACTCCATTTCAAATAATGTTTTCTATTATTTTAAATAAATGGATAGTTATCAATAAGATTAAAAAACATTTATCCTATTGTTAATTATTCTTAAGAATGAGGTTAAAAACGAGTGTTTGTTGCTATTCCAATTTTGAATTTGTCAAAAATAACATAAAATAAATCTCTTTAAAAATACTTTTTAATTTCTATTCCAATTTCTTCCAATTAATTCCTGATTTTGATAATGATGCTACATAACAAATGATGTTTTCCAGTATTTAAAATAAATGGACAGTTATCAATAAGATTAAAAACCTTTAATCCTATTGTTAATTATTCTTAAGAATGAGGTTAAAAACGATTGCTTGTTACTTTTCCGTTTTTGTCAAAAATTACATAAAATAAATCTCTTTAAAAAGATTTTTTAATTTCTAATTCATTTTTTCCAATTAATTCAAGTTTTTGCAAATGATACTACATAACAAATAATGTTTTCCAATATTTAAAATAAATGGATAGTTATCAATAAGATTAAAAAATATTTATCCTATTGTTAATTATTCTTAAGAATGCGGTTAAAAACGATTGCTTGTTGCTATTCCAATTTTGTATTTGTCAAAAATAGCATAAAATAAATCTCTTTAAAAAGACTTTTTAATTTCTATTACATTTTTTCCAATTAATTCAAGTTTTTGCAGCTCATCTTCGTGGAAACTCTAATAGTTCGTTCGATATGTTACGATTACAATTAGTATAGATAAAATTTAAGTAACGCATATAAGAATTGTTTTAAATATTTGCATAATACATTTTTTAATAAATAATAATAGTACGTAAATAAATTTTCAAATAATACATTTTTCATTTTAAAAATACAGGTTGGGGGTAGCCGCTGTTTTGAAGATATGGATCCAATAGAAGCTAAAAAAAAAATGTCATCAAAAAATTTTTGGTCGCAACGGAAAAGTTTTACTTTCGTTAGCATGTTTTCACGCCAACTTTAACAACGTTTAATTTTGAAACGATGCAATACTGCAAGAAGTAAACTGTTAAATTATATAAACTTTAGTTCATAAATATAACTGGTAGTTTGGTCTAGTTAGGTTAATTATTACAAAAAAATTAAATTGCTTATTTGTCAACTTCCACTTTTAGCAAATGATTTCTTTAAATATTTAAACTACTTTTAGATTGATCCTCTATCATTTGATTTAAAATTATTTTGATTTTGCATGGACACATTGTATGAGAACTCCAGAGGAAATTTTTATTTATTGGAGAAATGTTAAGTTTTTATTTTTATATGTAATCCGTATCTGGCTTGGAAAAAAAATGCAAAAACCTCGCATTGAAAAGCATTTATACAATTTAGAAATGATACTTTTCTTAGGTTTAAAAAAGTGTTTGCTCAGAGTTGAATCCTTCCTTTCTTACAACAACGCTATTTACAATATCTTATTCAGCAAAAGTGTGGACGTTTCTGTGGAGAATAAAGTCCTTCTTTTCAAAAAACTACG